CTTCATTTTCATTGGCAATTCGGAGCGAGTTAACATGCGCGGAATTTGAGCAGGTGGGTTGCTTATCCGACTTGTAGCTGGATAACTCTTGGGGCAATCTTTGGTGATCGCGTGCGCTGTGCTGTGTTGCGCTATTATTTTTTGAGTTTGCGTATTGGTTTGGTGGTGATGATAGGGGACCACTTGCTCTTTATTTTGTGGGGCTGTGGTCTTTTGGGTATGACCACAGCTTTATTTTATTTGTCGATCGGGGTTGTTCGATTTCTTAATATTTTCTTTTGTGCTAGCCTTTTTGGAATGGCCTTTATTTGAATGAACATGCAGTAACGAGTTATGTCTTTTTTGACAATACATGCATTTGAATGGTGACTTGCACTCTGTCAAGGTGTGATTGAAGGTGAGGCCATTTCGGCATAATTTATTAGCTTTAACAAATTTTTTCGCCGTTGTATTTAGAATGTTTTAAATATTGGGCATTTTTTCACGGGATGTGGTGTGTTGCATAAATAGCAAGAAAACACCATTTTGGAATTTGTTTGAAAGGCTTTTGTGTTACTGTGGGATTTTATTAGAGCAGAGTGTTTTGGAAATTTCATTTCTACCCTTTCTAACACGTGAAACCTGGATAATAATCTGTTGGCTATTTTCTACGTGAATGCTGGGCAGATTCAGTAAGATTTGGATTTGATTGTCCACTAATTTATTTTTATTTTCGTAACGCTCGCTTAATGCTTGCCATGCGAGGTCAAAATTCTCGTCGCTTAGAGGGAATTGCTGACGATTTGACCGGCTTGCCCTTTTGTTTTATACCGGAGATGGTATAATTTTTGAGCGGATGATAATTGGGGGTGGTTTATGTAGACGGTTGTAAACATATCTCGGAAAGATTACCGTTCCTCATAACCACCGTGGAAAATCTCTGTGTCACATGGCGGGAGTTGCAGATACATGTGAAGATTTTCATCTGTGTGCAAATTCTGTGCTTCTCGGGAGTGAGAGCTTGGGGGGCTTATATCTCGGATCAATTTGAGTTGATCTAAGATCTTCGCTTTAGTCATTTCATAAGTATCAATACTAAATTGATACTTGCCTTCTGCCAACGCCAAAAAATCATTTGGAAGGTCTTCATAATCCTTTTGGAAAATTGAGTCATATGCGGCTTGTAACCGCGCCCAGAGATTGTCAATAGTTTTTTCTTTTATTTCGAGGGCCGACTCTGTGAATTCCTCTATGGGAGAAGAGGTGAGTCTGGCACAATATCTCATGAAGCCATCATTTTCAATGTTAAATTTTTGCGCACACGGGTCATGAGATTTTTTTTTCTGATTTCTTTGCTTCGTAGAAGTCTGAAGCTTTTCAAAGATCTTGGTGGAAGTTGCTTTCCTTGGAATTCTGGAAATAATTTTGGGCTTTGTTCAGTTGGCATATTCAATATTTGAAAATTAATTTGTACTTAAGTAATCTAGTACGTAAAGGAGACTCTTGGTTGAGCAATTTGTTGTTTATGGTGTTTTTGTGGACTGTATTTAAATTTGTGACCAGTGAATTTTACTACTGGGGTGTATTTTGTATTTTCGTTTTAAATGTATTTTTATATATGTATATCTTTTTTTTTGTGGTTTGGGTGTGTTTTTGGCAATATATATTTTTGAGAGTTCGTAAATCTGCAGCTGGGGTATTACCACCAAATTTACTGCTGGGCTCACTTGCTTAATATGTGTATGTATAAACTCCTGCGCAATTCCATTTAAACGGCCTAACAAGACATCCGATCGCCGCGCAAATACTTTCCCTCCTTTACTCTCATCGTTCGGGTCAAGTGTGAGTAAGCATAAACCAGTTTCTGCAAGCGTACGTAAACTACCGATCAATAGCAAGACGCGTAGAGTATTTACTTTGCCTTCCGCAACTACTGCGAGTAAAAAGTATTTGACAGTAGAGTACTCTACTGGTAGTACTTGAGTATTTTCGAAGAAAACATACATTTGTAGTCTATATATATAAACATGAAATGTTTTTCGTATGACCGCGATGCCTGACCAAACGGCTGAACTGATTTCAATTCTGTAAAAAGTACTTTTTTGGTTCTTCTGTGTGGAAGGTTTTTCGATTTTAAAAAATTTGGAATTTTTTGTTGTTGTTGCCGAAAAATGAAGAATTCTGAGACGTCACGATTTCACAATTTCATAGAGTTTTCAGTATATTGAATGTCACTAAACTACCAAACGGCTGGACCGATTTCGTTCATATTTGTGACATATGTCAGCACCTTGAAGGGAAATATTTCGACTAAAAATTCATCGCTAGGTGGCGCTGGGGTCGCGATATTCCTAAATATTTCATTTACTTGCCGATTTAGCTCATATTAAGAATGCAATTTAAATGCCAATTGAAAATAAATATTGGTACTTAAAACTTACATGATTGGTGGCCCCGGGGCCAAGATATCCCCAAAAATTATTTTACGCTAAGAGAAGGATAGATGTCTACTATATATTTGTGGAAGTATTTAATATGTGCCAGGTTGCAGTCTAAACGGACGGACAGAATCGAACAACCTTTTGACAAAGTATTGCCTATATAGAGCCTATAATAGTGTGCAAAAAATTGGGATCCGACAAGGGGCATGGCACCTCCCATAGGCGTGAAATTTTT